AAGGACTAATCACCCTGTTAAACAGGTATATATATTGTTGAAATGTTGATTGAGAGATCAACTCTCTTCCTTGTCTAGCCTAGTGCTTGTCTATCCTAGTGCTTGTCTATCCTAGTGCTTGTCTATCCTAGTGCTTGTCTATCCTAGTGCTTGTCTATCCTAGTGCTTGTCTATCCTAGTGCTTCTCTATCCTAGTGCTTCTCTATCCTAGTGCTTCTCTATCCTAGTGCTTCTCTATCCTAGTGCTTGTCTATCCTAGTGCTTGTCTATCCTAGTGCTTCTCTATCCTAGTGCTTGTCTATCCTAGTGCTTGTCTATCCTAGTGCTTCTCTATCCTAGTGCTTCTCTATCCTAGTGCTTCTCTATCCTAGTGCTTGTCTATCCTAGTGCTTGTCTATCCTAGTGCTTGTCTATCCTAGTGCTTGTCTATCCTAGTGCTTCTCTATCCTAGTGCTTCTCTATCCTAGTGCTTGTCTATCCTAGTGCTTGTCTATCCTAGTGCTTGTCTATCCTAGTGCTTGTCTATCCTAGTGCTTGTCTATCCTAGTGCTTGTCTATCCTAGTGCTTGTCTATCCTAGTGCTTGTCTATCCTAGTGCTTCTCTATCCTAGTGCTTCTCTATCCTAGTGCTTCTCTATCCTAGTGCTTCTCTATCCTAGTGCTTCTCTATCCTAGTGCTTCTCTATCCTAGTGCTTCTCTATCCTAGTGCTTCTCTATCCTAGTGCTTCTCTATCCTAGTGCTTCTCTATCCTAGTGCTTGTCTATCCTAGTGCTTGTCTATCCTAGTGCTTCTCTATCCTAGTGCTTCTCTATCCTAGTGCTTCTCTATCCTAGTGCTTCTCTATCCTAGTGCTTCTCTATCCTAGTGCTTCTCTATCCTAGTGCTTCTCTATCCTAGTGCTTCTCTATCCTAGTGCTTCTCTATCCTAGTGCTTCTCTATCCTAGTGCTTCTCTATCCTAGTGCTTCTCTGTTTTAGTGCTTCTCTATCCTAGTGCTTCTCTATCCTAGTGCTTCTCTATCCTAGTGCTTCTCTATCCTAGTGCTTCTCTATTCTAGTGCTTCTCTGTTTTAGTGCTTCTCTATCCTAGTGCTTCTCTATCCTAGTGCTTCTCTATCCTAGTGCTTCTCTATCCTAGTGCTTCTCTATCCTAGTGCTTCTCTATTCTAGTGCTTCTCTATTCTAGTGCTTCTCTATTCTAGTGCTTCTCTATCCTAGTGCTTCTCTATCCTAGTGCTTCTCTGTTTTAATCGTCACGTTTCTCGTATAATAATGTGCAATGATCTACACTAATGTGTAATAATGTGTATTAATTATTTACAACAAAGTGCCTCGTAATATACATCAAAATGCTTTTACTGTTAAAATACTTATAGTAATGTGCATTAGGCTCGTTGTGCACGACCATAATATCAACATACTATTCTAGCCTAAGTAAAGTTGTATTTCCAAACTCGTCAACATAGAGTATGCATATAAATCCATACATGTATATACACACTGGTAACTCGCGTAAGAAGAGTTAAAAAGGGATTTTAATGCACTTTGTATCATTTCATAATTCACAACGTTTATCTAAATAATTCATTCTCCAGCTCTAAATAATGTACGAAGTCGCAAGCCGGTAAATGTAAATGGACGAGGAAATGTGAAACGTGTGATAAAATAATTAAAATGAAGCAAAATACAACTAATTGTATTTAGTATTTTTTGTATTTAATGATACAAGAGAATATCTGGAATCTCCAGGTGCATTTACCATATACATCTAAGTGCACGAGGGTAACATTACAGAACTGTAGTAGTGGAAGAGGTGACAAAATGTTGTTGACATCTTGTTTAAGTGTTAAGTAGTATTATTCCTACTGCTACTAGTTATAAGAATACCAGGTGTGAGGCGAGAGAAAATACTGAGAGAATCATATCTCATGTCACAGGAATGGAGAAAATACAGGAGACACATTTATTCTACCCGGGAGGATTGATTGGCTACCAGTCAACTAGCTGTTCGCTCCTGGTTTACCTGCAACCACTTGGGGTGGACTGTAGAGCGACGCGGTCTGGCTTCATGCAGGTCGGCGTTCAATCCCCCGACCGTCCACAAGTGGTTGGGCACCATTCCTTATCCACCGGGTCACATTCCAAATCCTTATCCTGACCTCTTCCACGTGCTATATAGTCGTAATAGCTTGGCGCTTTCCCCAATAGTTCCCTTGCCTTCCTGTTCACCCAGGAGGTATTGGGTGCCTGGGACCAGATTCACGAAGCAGTTACGCAAGTACTTACGAACGTGTACAGCTTTCCTGAATCTTTGACGACTTTATTTACATTTATTAAACAGTTTACAAGCATGAAAACTTCCCAATCAACTGTTGTTATTGTTATAAACAGCCTCCTGGTGCTTCGGAGCTCATTAAGTGTTTATTAATTGTAAACAAAGCCGCCAAAGATTGAGAAAAGATGTACAGGTTCGTAAGTGCTTGCTAACTGCTTCGTGAATCTGGTTGTTAACCAATTGACGGGTCGTATTCCAGAGGAAACCAGTGTGTACAACTTCCTATAGCTCATGGTATGAGCTATGGTAAGATTCAGATTCAGATTCAGATGTTTATTCAGGTAAGGTATATACATACAAGTGATGTTACATTAAAGGATTGATATATAGATAGAGCTAGTACATACAATGCCTAAAGCCACTATTACGCAATGCGTTTCGGGCAAGAAAAAACATTAATATCTAGAACTTAATACTAATTGAGCATAAAGAATAAAAGATGTTGAGAACAAATACAAATAAAGATAAAAAAAAAGGGGGAACATGACTGAAAAAGCAGCACAAATACAATAGGTTGACAAACAGTGTTGATTAAAAAAAAAGAAAAAAAAAAAGAAAATAACAGACATGGGTTGACAATAGAGGAGTGGGGTAGATTACAGGGAATTTATTAGGTAGTGTTTAGTTTTTATCTTAAACTGGTTGAGAGAGGTACAGTCTTTAACATGGTTGGGAAGGTCATTCCACATTCTGGGCCCCTTGATTTGCAGAGCATTTCTAGTTTGATTAAGACGTACTCTAGGAATATCAAAACTGTATTTATTTCTGGTGTGGTGCTCATGGGTTCTGTTACAACCTTCTATGAAGCTTTTAAGATCAGGATTGGCATTATAGTTTAGCGTTTTAAATATGTATAATACACATGAGAGAATGTGCAGTGACTTAATATCTAACATATTAAGAGATTTGAGTAGGGGTACCGAGTGATGTCTGGGGCCACATTTAGTACACTGAATGGCGAACAAATACTTTTAAATCTTCAAATACAATTTCAAAATGTTATTTGTGGCTATATAAAAACATTATTTAGGGCCTTGTAGTAAAATTGGCTTTACTTACAATCATGGAACCTGAATTCATGTTTTACCTGAAGAGTGTTCCAGAGTGGAACGAACGTTGTAGAAAATAAATCCTTCAATAATTACGAAGAGTTTCTTAGCCATGAATTTTGGTAACTTGAGTGTTCTTAATAAGAAGAAAATAGTCGAATGGCTCCCACAACAGGTCTCCAAACTCATGGGTACTTATATTACTCCAAGGTGAACAGCGGCATCAGGTGAAAGGAAATGCGTCCAGTTATTGATCTCTGGTCCCTCAGTTGCGAGCCGAGGACGTAGGCCACTGCGATACCTGTTTAACATGTATAATATATATATAATGAACCTTATAGAACTGTAATAATTAGTTATAGATAGTTATATGAACCTTCCGACTCTGAAGTAGATACAGGTTCTCTCCTTCAAACTCAATCAGGGTTCAATTTTCGTCGTTGAATGAGAGAAACCTGTTGTTTTCATTAATAGGTCGCGTTTTTTACGTTCTAGCGACCAACGTTACAAATGCAGACTATACTATCAAGAGCTTCGTGTCCTTTGCATCGGATTCGATAGGTTAGGTGGGCTGCTTGGGTTTGTACGTTTCTAGTTAGGCTAAGCGGCTGGATTTTTTTTTAATTTTTTTTACAGGGGGGACTGGTCTGGGGTATGGGACAAACATAGGCTAGTCCACTGGCTATATACACTCCTAGTGTATAGAACACTGGCTATACACTCTCCTAATGTATAGAAGTGCATAATTGTTCCTCCTTCCCCTCAACACAGCCACCTCCCTATTTATACAACCCCCCATATAACTCAATGTTTCAGGTTACCAGAAAAAAATACATTTATTCAAATATTCTGTATTTGAAATGTTCAATTAAAGCAAGTACATAAAAATCACTAGTTACAGTGGCCAGCTACAAAGTCAGGAATACAAAAATTTTCACCTTAAACACTAACCATTACTCGTCTACCAATCTATTAGAGCTCTGTAATTCCAACATATCAATATTAACTTTGTAACTCTTGTAAATATATATTTTCAGAATATAACCCCGAAAAATAATAATAATAAGCAAATAATAAAATAGGAATCTGAAGTCACCAAATATCAATACTATACAATGATATCGTCCACTGAGGTGATGATTGATACAACAGCTTTATGATCTATTATCACGCTACATCCATATATATACATACATCATACAGTAGGTATTCATACGCAGCTGAAAAAGTATTATTAAAATGCAGAATATGGGATTAAAGATCCACTTAAGTAGTATACTATACACAAGTTTTATGTTGTTAGAGAACTTTGATGTCTATTTGCACTATTCCCGATAAACACACACACACCTGTTGATTGACAGTTGAGAGGCGGGACCGATGCCAGAGCTCAACCCCCGCAAGGACAACTAGGCGAGTACGTACGTACACACCAACCCGTTCTCGCAAATTTAATAAGTCAATATTGACTTATTAGTTGCGTGCATAGGTGACATGTTTTCAGGTCGGTGTTTTCTATGAAGCTTTTCAAGGGAAACTTATGTTAAGTATGTCACCTATGCACATATTTAATAAGTCAATATTGACTTATTAAATTTGCGAGAACGGGTTGTACACACACACACACACACACACACACACACACACACACACACACACACACACACACACACACACACACCAAAGAATAAAAAAAACACGCGATTCTATTACGCTTAAATATTCATATATATGGAGTTTTCAAAAGGAATAATTTTGCCTTCTGAAGTCCCATAGTTTCTCAAGTTATTAATAATGTAGTTTATGGTCAAAAATAAAAATTTTGCAATATTTTTATTAGAATAAAATCTAGCCTCATCCATTAAATGTATGTGCGCAAACACACACATATGTATACATATATTTAAAAATAATTTAAAATTTTCTGAACATATAAATATAAACGAACCAACATTTGCTGTTTATTTGTACTCAATCCCATTATAACAAGAGTAAAACAAGCTATATTTTCTCCAATTCTAAATTTCTTCAAGACTATGTAGTCCTGAAAATTTCAGTAATGAAATAAATGCTATATATCGTTTAAGCTTCACTTTAAAATCTCTAGTGTCTTACTGAAAATCCTAGTCAAATTTATTACATTACTTTCCTTAGTTTGAAAAAAATATATAAAAGGATCCAATAATTATCCCCATTTCATAACTTTAATGGTATTCCAATTACTAACAATTTAATATTAATGTAGCACTTGGTAATCTTTATGCCATAAACTAACAGTTCTCCAGTATTGTCAAATATTAGTTGCGATTACTACACTTGCACAACGAAATTGTAAATTTATGTAGTATTACATCGCTCAGACATCCTCACCCACTTCCTAGAGCAATGTTCAATTCCCCATCTCATTTTTTACTCTTCAAAATGGGCAAAGCCTAGCTGTCACAGCTAGGCTTTGCCGAATTCACTACCTTTCATGTACCCAATCTATGTCTCTTTCTCTCTCTCACTCACACACCTCACACTCTTGCTTCAGACTGCCTCCCAGCTACCACAAACTACGCACTAACCAGCTATTCAGCCTCAATCTGAGAGACAATACATGGTTTCTCCAAGGAAGTAACCTTAGCAAAGGCTCTTGTCGCCGCCTGCTCCCCGTGGCCATTGACCTCATGATTCCTGCCCGAGTAACTATCAAAAGTCATGCCATTGCTGTGGCCGTTGATGGCGTGGTAGTGACGCTTGCAGAAAGCAGAGATGCGATTACAGGCTTCCCTCAATTGCTCCAAGGGCACTGTTAGGACCAGTCTCACGTAGTTTGGGTAGTCGAAGCACTGTCAGGTTAAGAAGATTGGTTTATTACTTGTTTAGCCGTCACAAAATATACATAACTATGATGGTTAGACAAAACTGAATAGGCTTTAATAGGCTTTGCCCTGAACAGCAGACGTCTGTAAAACATCAAAATCCAGTTAGTTTATTGCAAGAGTCTGATTGAGCCTTGTAAGTTATAACTTTTTTGTTCAATTCATCGATAAGCCAAGATAATGTTATTATTCACGATACCGTAAATGTGTAATTATTCACGTTGCAACTTACCTTGCCAGGGAGACAGAAGACTGATTCCTCATTGATCAGTTTCTCTACAAGCTCGAGGTCATTGGAAAACTTGTGGAAGCCTGACATGTCGACGCCAACCTGGTGACGGAGGATTTTGGTTAGTCGCGGCCCAATGATGCTACATGTGTGTAACATGAGATGCAAACAGGTGCTCAAAAACCTGGGAAATGACTTGCAAGGTGAAATGAGTTTCAGAGCGACGGTCGAATTTTTATTCCCCACGCAATTACAGGCCGGTGCAGAGACTGCCTCACTTCTTGCACTATTGGTACTCGATCCCCAATGGTCCAAGTAGTAGGGCACTGTTCCTTCACTCCATTTCCTTATCAACATCCATTCTAAGTGTTATATAGTCATGTACGCTTCGCGCTTTCTTCTGATAATTACCTCGCCTCACCTCCTCTCACATTTAGAGTTCTAGAGCTAACAATATGAGGCTCTGAGGTTCGGACAATTTAATACATCATTTAATTCTCATGTCCTTGCTAGTGGATTCTCATGCTAGTGGAGACCGTCGCTCCACTTATACTGAATAGTAGAGCGACGGTCTCACTTCATGCAGGTCGGCGTTCAATCCCCGACCGTCCAAGTGATTGGACAACATTCCTTCCTTCTCCCCCCCCCGTCCCATCCCAAATCCTTATCCACCCGTAATATGTCGTAATATATATTATTACTACATAGCACCCTTCCAGGTGCTTCATAATCTTAATGGCTTGGCGCTTTCCCCTAAAAATTCCCTTCATCTTCCATTTTCCCAATGGAGCCTAAACGCTCTTCATGTGTCCTCTTTAGCAACAAAGCTGAATAAACTCCTAACTGAAAAAAAAAATAAAAAAAAATACCTATGTTAACCAAGTTCAGGAAATTGTCAAAATAACTATATATAGCCCTTTATCTCAAAAACCGCAAATTATATCCAAATGTTGGTATTAACTTATGTTGCACACATAAAATTTCCTTTAAAACTGGCAACATTACAGTGAAATCGAAAAAATTACAGATATAGTAAAATTAACAAAAAATAACAAAAATTAGAGATGGGCGCCATCTTGATGACGTCAGTATACGAAACAATATATGGAGTGGCACTAGATATAATTATTCATCTACAAGCGAGTTAATAAAATGACAATAAAACTACGAAGCACGTTTATCATAGATGTTCTCCCATACTATGTATAATGAAGACTTGATAAAACAGTGTAAAGCCTACATTCTAGTCTTGCTTCACTGGAGTTCCCTGAGGACTCCGTACAGAAGCTTGTGCTGGAGAGAAGGGAAAGGAAAAGGTGGAAAGGTGGACAAGAAGGAAAGAGTAGATGAAGGGAAGGAAGGGAATTATCAGGGGGGGGAAAGCGCCAAGCCATTACGACTATATAAGGGAAGGGAGGGAGTGATTAGGATGTTTGATGTTTACGTTAGTTATTGCACGTAGCCTCGTGTCCATCTGCATACTTGTCTCCCGGTTACTACATCCTTCAAGGCCGCCACTCTCCCGCATACGCACGTACGTCCTCGCGGCCCTGCTGACAAAGCTCGGAATTCGTAATCCAAAGGATCCCAGGTTCGATTCCTGGTCGACTCTTGAACAAATGAAGTTTATCTCGCCTAATGCATCTATTCACCTAGCAGTAAATAGGAACCTTGGAGTCAGACAACACCTACGGGCTGCATCCTGGGGTTGTGTTGAGTGGGGGGTAGCAACCTTTCCCAAAGTTGATGAGGTTCAACTATTCGATTTAGAAGCAATCACAGCCAACTGAATAATAGACAAGTCCTCTGTGTTTGTTGACATCAAGGAAGCTTTTTGAACAGGTTCAAGGGATTGTGATCCTAGACGAGTCTGCAAACATGGGGGGTCGAAGGGGTGGCAAACATGGGGACGGGGTGTCCAAGGGCCGTTGAAAAAAAAAAATTACTACCAACCGACTGATGAGTTAGAGATGCAAGCTTGTAGCTGGTTTAAATAAACCTCTAACTTTTCTTCGGTAATTAACCAGCTAGAAGGGTATGCCATATGTATGGTAAATACTGAAGAGATTGGCGGTGGTTTAATGTTTGTAAAAGGAGCAGTTACAGCGACAGTTTGGGGCTGCGGATAGTATCGTGGGAAAGTCAAGACGGAGTGCAGCCTAGGACATGGGCCGAACTGCGTCCGATTTATATAAGTGCAAATTTCCACTCGTTACTTACCGGCCACCACTTTCATTATACTACTGATGGTATGTTCAGCGACTTCGGCCATTACCCATTTGTATTGTGTTGTTTGAGCTGTAAGGGCAGAATTGATTAAATGAACCGAGGGTTAAGGGATAACGTCCAAGTGTATGTCTCCGTCAGAGGCTGCAGGTCTACAACTTCTGGGAGGAGTTCATAGGCCTCCTTCAGGTATATAATTGCCTTTAACTCATACTGCAGCCTATGTGGGGTATTGAAAGTAGAGTAAATGTAGGATAGGCAGTGAAAATGTTGTTACAACAGTTGTCATCGATTAATAAAGTATTGTACTTATTAATCCTCTTTCTGAGGACTGGTGGAGGCTTCGTAGATTGTACTTCTGGACATTTTATATTGGGATTGTTTCCTGGGGGCTGGGCCTAGCGAAGCTCAACATGCGGGCTTGCCTTTTGTATAGTAACTTACTATTGTGCTAACCCATTAATATCAGATGGACCAAACTAATATATTTTGTACCGAGTAAAACCCATTAAAAACCGAGTTGGAACAGCAAGCACGGGGTCCAAGGGAAGGACTCGTGTGCGGATTAAAGATTACCAAATTAAGAAAGCCAAGATTCTATTTCACGCCTCAGTCTTCGTAATACTTATGAAACTTGGTACTACAGTGTGTGTTAAGTCCTACGCACATCATTAAGATGTGGGTCAACATCTTTGCTAAAAATAAAAGTATATTTTCTCTTTTCACAAACAATGGTCCCAAACTTTTTTGGGGGGAAGCTTACTTATTTTCTAATAAACAACCCTTAAGGGAGTTCGCGACCCATCGCTTGCGAATACACAAGACAAAAGCGTACTCCCACCAAAAAAAAAATGGGACCTGAAATTTAATTAACATGTATTTAATGCGTTTACCTCATCAGTATCCTGGGCTTGTCGACTGTGGCAAAGGAAAGAGGGAAATGATCAATTCATATGGACATTGAAGTGTCCATAAATACTCTGAAAGCCATGTCCTCGAATTGTCGCGGGATTATATCGCAGTATATAATATATACTATATTGAAATCTGTGTCAACAGCTTTTGTACACTCCGTCATAGCCTATGTCAGTCCAGTTCTATGCAAATGTACCTCTAGCTATGTAAAATATTTGAAAGCATACACAATGTAGTCCAGGCGTGTTGCTACTAAGTACATGCATCTTTAGAAAATTACTATAGCGGCATGATATGAAAGACAAACAATGATGGCTCTGGTAATATTTATAAATACAGGAATAGTGCACACGTACGTACTAGGCTTAGGAATATCACTTTTTCAAAACTCAAAAGTACGGATTGAGAATCATTCATATATCTAGAAAAAGAACAAGCGATCTTCCAAAACTAGAAACCTGTTTTTCAGTCTTAAAAAGGTCAGGCAGTAAAAGGGAACAGTCTCAGAAATCAAGAGAAGTGAAAATGCCATCCAATCAAGGAAGGGTGATCAAGTTCCAGTAGATTATGTCTCATGTTTGAACTTTGTGAAAAAGGATGAGCAGAGAGATAGGTTGGCTGTCGGATACTCAAACGAAAGCAATGTAGAATATTTCATCCTCAAGACCGTTCTACAAATGAGGAATCATCCTCATTTCAGTGTGGAGAGGGGATGGGGTGCGGGGAAGGAAGGAATTACGTGGAGAAGCACCAAGCCATTATGACTATCTAGCGGGAGGTTATTGATAAAAGAGGTACAAGTCATGCATAATGTACACACTAGGCTGGGCGAAACGTTTCTGGGCGTTCGCGACTTTTGTACAACTTAATCATACAATTTCTGGAACATTAGCATAGAAATCTATACTAAAATTATCTTTTTCATATGAATGAATTCATAAAATAAAAATATAATGGTGGTCAAGGGAGAGAAGTTATAATAAAAATTAGTCATGGATGCCCAAATGTGGATGAAAGTCAAGCAATCTGCAGAAGAAAAGCGTGGCCTGGAGCGCCACGTGACGCATGATGGAGCTCATCTTCAAGGTGATCCTCGCCTTACTATAGTATTCATTTTATTTGCTTTACTGCTGAATACATCCTAAAAGAATGCTGCTACGGAGATCGTTTCCACATTAGAAACATCTGATACGGCCACAGTGTAACATATCCAAATTTGAGTTGAGAAAACAGACAAACATGAATGTTTTCTTGAAAAGATTCCACTCCCCTGCCCACCTTCCGTTTGATAATCTGTTAGAGCCAGTTCAGAGCCTCCCCATGTTCCTCAGAGAACAGTTGACGCCATGAGAGGCAAAACAGCGTCAGGAGGGTAGAAACAGCCTAAGCTACTCTCACCTTTTGTTATGCATTCTAACATGTCACTAGGCTTCCTTGAACTTGAACCCTACGGGGTTTTCTTCCTATTGGGGACTGTGGGGTGGGTGTGGGTGGAGGAGGAAGGCCATTTATATCCGCCAATGACGATACGAGCTATCTGTGGCTAAATGACGCTGCTCAACTACCTTTCCCCTTCGAGGCAAAATTGAAAGCCTGATGAAATTTGAGTGATACGATATCATAAGCATTATCAACGATAAATTTACTGTTATATAAAAATCATACGATGCAACCTTTATACACGGCCTAAATACGGATGTTTCTATACAAGTTCGTATGCGTAGGAAGTACAGTGGATGACTTGCTACGAATTCCTTAAACATCTGCTTCTGCTTAAGGCCCCCAGGTCTTCCTGCTGCTGCTGCTGCTCCATGCACCATCCCTCCCCCCCTACTCCACGCCCTCACACACCCCTGATTCCCACCAATCACAGCCGTCTCTGGGGAGCCGGGGCCAATGAGAGTGAGGGCGGGCATCACACTACCACGTGACGCGTGACAGTGCGTGTGTACCTTCGTCTCTTCAAGGTGAGTCTCGCTCTAGACATAGACATTTTATTTGTCTTTCTGTTGAAGGCAACATGTACTCGTTGGTTAGCGAGAAATATCACAATTTAGAATTCTTACTCGGCACGAGTAAATAGCAACGCCATTTGAAGGATAACTAAAATGATTACATACACCATTTTAGTTTGCTTCAAATTAACCATATCCTTGAAATAAATCGGCATGATGTCGTAATAAGCCGTTTATTTTAATGTGGTATCATGTCCTGGTCCATTGGATAAGTTGTATTGAAGACAAACCATTAAGTGGAACACATTAGAACGGAGAAAATTAGGAAAACGCTACCCGCCAAACACACACCGAAACTACGACGTTGGTACAACGTTTGAACAAGTTTTAACACCACCTAACCAGTTATAACAACCAATATAGCAAATTGTAACAACGCTAATACGTCATAAACACGTTAAGCCAAGATGTAACAACTTTATTACAAGTTGTAACAAGCGGAAAATAGAGACAGTTTCGGTTTGTGTTTCCAGGGTAGTTATCCTATTTTCGGATGACATTTTCTGTTAGAATATAAGCAAACAGGTGGGTTACTCAGACAAAATAATGAAGCTTTAGAAAGCCAGAATAAAGTATAACATTTGCGGTTGACGATTGATATAACACGATGTGAAGCATTGCATTCAAAAATATATTAGTGAAATAATATATTTCAATAATATACGTTAGTAGGCAATGCGTACTTACCATCATATACATGGCTCCTTGAGGCATGACGGGGCTGAGGCCAGGCACGTCTCTCAGGAAATTATAACACATCTTGGCGTTCGTCTGAGGGGTAGAGGGCAAAGAATGCTATTAAAAACTTATATACTCTAAAGTAATCACTCCATAATATACATATATAGCCGCACGTCTTGCAAGACAAGGCGAGACTTGACCCCACACAACATTGTATATATTTATTTGTTCCGTGTTACACTCCAAGAGCGCACTTTAGCAGCTTTGAAATGGGTAAAAACAAGAATTAAGAACAGCGAGTAATGGCAAATTAGTTTAAAAGGTATCAAAGCTTTAATTAAATTTTGAATATTCGGTACTGAAGTGAAATGCAGAAAATACAATAATGTTAATTTCTCACAACAAAAGTTATATAGAAGCAAGGCATATACGAGGTCTACGGCTCTTGCTCTGTGATATAGAAAACTGGTTTACCGAAAATGATATAATATATAAATGTAATATTTTCTCTTGTATATATATCAATATATTGTAAATGGGTGTAAATATGATCTTAATATTGTATATTATTTAATAAAGAAAAAATATATACCCTTTATGTGATATAGTTCCTTTACCAACAATTCTCCAGTGTCCCACTTAAGGCGTTTTATGATAATGAAAGATTAGGTATTACGCTGGAGTAGTGTGTGAATGAGACTAAGGTTGCTAACTGTATACTCTAGTTAAACTGATGCTACCAAACCCTTTTCTCTCCTACACTTTCCTTTCCCCCTCTTTTCTTGCTTTTTATAATGTACAAATTGTCCGTCTACTTTTGTTCGTTTTGCATTTATTTTCCATTTAAATAATAATAAAATAAATGTTTATTTAGGTAAGGTACATACATACAAGAGATTTTACAAAGAATGATGGATTTATAGATTGAGCTAGTACATACAATGCCTAAAGCCACTATTACGCAAAGCGTTTCGGGCATGAGAAACTTAAATGACTTTATCCAGGCGTTATTAGTGAAGCTCTGCCTTATATGTATTGTTCATGTTTCTCCATTTGTCTATACATTTGGCACACTACACAATATATTTAAAGGTCTAAAAATAAGTCAAGCCTAGCCTATAATTTTCACTGACCAATCACAACAGAGATATGTCCTGTGACGCCATTATCTTATCTCCACTACGTAGAACTGTATCTACAACGACAGTAAGGTTTCTTTTCTGGTTTAAACCAATGAGAAACCCGTCATACTTGTCCGTGTCGCTTCATACTCTGTTAGCTCCCACCTGTCTAACGACGGCGAGTTCTGGCCAATCACAGAAGAGAAACGCTGAAGAAAAACCTGTATTGCCCGGAGCTTGGCGGTACAATCATGCTAAGTACGGTGCATGGCGGTGGCCAGCAAGGTATATTTGTTGTATACAAGAAAGTTGTGTGGGGTTATTTTGATATAAAATTTAGACTGCAAATCAGTGCTGTGTTTATCCTAGTCTATGGTGAACGGATCTTCCGGCGTTCGTCTCATTAGCGAAGAAGCCTGGAGTTTGGTTAGTACTTGGATGGGTGACTGCCTGAGAGCAACAGATGTTGTTGGCATATACGTCTATATTGACCGTTACTGCAGTTTGGTCACTACAGATTGGATCCGTGTTCGATTCCCTGGTACTGCGAGACTTTTTGGAACGTTTTCTTACCCTTCGATGCATCTGTTCACCTAGTAGTAAACATTTTAGTTAGGGAGTTGGCCAACTGTTGCAGGTTGCATTTCTACCAAGGACATTCGTTGGCTTTGGCCTGTAGGGGAACCTCTATCAACTTGCCAGGCTTTCTGTCCCAGACAGTAAGAAAACTCAGTATCTAAATGATGTAGATTAGTGTGCATACAAACACTACATATTACTGACCTACATATTCCGTAAGTGCGCGCTATAACCATACTGGCTTAGCAACAGGATGGCTGGGAGACTCATCAGGCTTCATATGGCTACTCATCGGCCGTTTTCGTGATCTGCCACTCCGTATAAAATCCAACTTTCTAGCCTAATCACATTCGTGCAAATCCAAGCAACCTAATTAACCTATCTAGACCAATGCATGGGTAAACTTAGATATTTGTAAGCAGTTCCTTTTTCACAATAGGTTGCATTTGCAACGATGGTTACCATAGTGTATAGAATGTGACCTATTAGTTGCATTTAGAAACGGGTAGAGTGAAATTGTTTTCCAACTCTCAGGGTAATCAACTTTCTGACGATATCAACTCTCGAAATCTAGAGTGCCGCCAATGGCCAATTAAGACAAACTTACTACTGAAAGTACAATAAATTTCTGAAAATGGATTACCGATTAACCGTTGTAAAATAACTATGATTTGCAGTTTTAGTTCGTGAATTTCAAAAGAATTTCGTGACATTTACACCAAACCGTAAACTTTTGTAAACATGTAAATATAGTATATTCCGAAGGGTGTTTTCGCTCTGCGTATTCTCTATCCATGACCAATTAGCGAAGGCGGTCACTACCAGATTATTGACCTTATGGGGTAATCTGATCCACGCGCTCTAGGGACAAGCCTAAGGCGGCCTGGCCCCTAGTGTACCTGGGCCCCCTAGTGTACCTGGGGGGCCCCCTAGTGTACCTGGGGGGCCCCCTAGTGTACCTGGGCCCTAGATGTTCTAGTACCCGGTTTCCATTAAATATCGATAAATACATTCTTGTAGCAAGAGCCATAGCAGTGAAAGTGAAGGGACGACGACGTTTCGGTCCGTCCTGGACCATTCTCAAGTCGATTGTGGTCCAGGACGGACCGAAACGTCGTCATCCCTTCACTTTCTAGTGTGTGGTCTGGTCAACATACTTCAGCCTCGTTATTGTGACTCGTCGCCTCTTGAATTTCGTAATCACAAGTTGTGTTAATGATTACGAAGGGAACAAGCAGGCAACACACCAGAGGGGGAACAAGCAGGCACCACACCAGAGGGGGAACAATCAGGCTACACACCAGAGGGGGAACAATCAGGCTACACACCAGAGGGGGAAGAAGCAAGCAACACACCAGAGGGGCAACAAGCAGGCTACACACCAGAGGGGCAACAAGCAGGCAACACACCAGAGGGGCAACAAGCAGGCAACACACCAGAGGGGCAACAAGCAGGCAACACACCAGAGGGGCAACAAGCAGGCAACACACCAGAGGGGCAACAAGCAGGCTACACACCAGAGGGGCAACAAGCAGGCTACACACCAGAGGGGGAAGAAGCAGGCACCACACCAGAGGGGCAACAAGCAGGCTACACACCAGAGGGGCAACAAGCAGGCAACACACCAGAGGGGCAACAAGCAGGCACCACACCAGAGGGGGAACAAGCAGGCACCACACCAGAGGGGCAACAAGCAGGCAACACACCAGAGGGGGAACAAGCAGGCAACACACCAGAGGGGCAACAAGCAGGCACCACACCAGAGGGGCAACAAGCAGGCACCACACCAGAGGGGCAACAAGCAGGCACCACACCAGAGGGGCAACAAGCAGGCACCACACCAGAGGGGCAACAAGCAGGCACCACACCAGAGGGGCAACAAGCAGGCTACACACCAGAAAGGGAACAAGCAGGCACCACACCAGAGGGGCAACAAGCAGGCAACACACCAGAGGGGGAACAAGCAGGCACCACACCAGAGGGGCAACAAGCAGGCACCACACCAGAGGGGCAACAAGCAGGCACCACACCAGAGGGGCAACAAGCAGGCACCACACCAGAGGGGCAACAAGCAGGCACCACACCAGAGGGGCAACAAGCAGGCACCACACCAGAGGGGCAACAAGCAGGCACCACACCTGAGGGGCAACAAGCAGGCACCACACCAGAGGGGCAACAAGCAGGCACCACACCAGAGGGGCAACAAGCAGGCACCACACCAGAGGGGCAACAAGCAGGCACCACACCAGAGGGGCAACAAGCAGGCTACACACCAGAGGGGCAACAAGCAGGCAACACACCAGAGAATCAGAACCCACAGTGACGTACCTGGATCTGACTGACGGTGTCGGCGAAGAACTCCTTAGGAGTGTTGGCCAGGATGGCTGGCAGAGCTCCCTGCACTAGAGTGCTGCTCCCAATGATCCTCTGGCTCAGAGCTAGCAGCGCCTGGCGTACCTGCGCCAGAATGATCAACTGGGTGATAAACTGATCGATTTTGTTCATACTAACAGTCATAATTTAGAATGTTTGATTATAAATCTCTAGCAGTTATGGAGTTTATGATTGCAAATTGTATAGATATATTACATATTGCTTTCTGCCTGCCTACCAGCTCCTGGTTCTTTCAAGAAGGTATTATACATGACAGAAGGCAATGTGGTTGTGGTCTGAGCATAGTTACCCCTTCACCGTTTTCTCTAATTCTGACGGGCGGGCGCGCACTCTGTTCTACCTGTCATTCTCATCTCTTGCCAGCTCTCTTCCCTTCTACCAACACGCTATTTACCTCTCCCATTTATCAATCTCCCCCTCGTGTCCTTCCTCACATCCTCTGTGTCCCCCCCACAACATATCCCTCGGTCGTACACCGACCGTTTCCACCCATTTCGTGTGTTCGTTCCGCCCTTCCCTCACCTCGGCGTCGAAGACATTGCCTCTGTCGCAGATGGCTATCCAGCCCAGACGCCATCCTGGGACCAGGAACCTCTTGGTGAGGCCCCCGCAGGACAACACCGGCACCTCCTCCGTCAGCGAGGCCATGGCGTGGTACTCCTCCCCCTCGAACACCTGTAGGGGAGAGGCAGTGGGAAGAGAGAGTAACGGGATCAGAACCAAAATGGCAGTAATTATAAATCATCAATTGTTGGCAACAAATAAGGCCAATTTAAGCAAAAATTGTGATTTAATCTAAAGAGCAATCACTTTATGTACAAATATGAACAATGAAAATGGTAATATAATGAAAATGGGAACAACGAGAATTGCATGTGTTAGGGCAAACCACGACAGTTTCATAAACCAGTGTTGGGATAAAATCCATTGCCCACTGAAGGCGAAACTCTGAGGAGAGCGGGAGGCAAGACCTGAGAAAGAAGTCCTTACTACTAATTCATATTGCCATTGTGAATGGCTTCCTGGAAGCAAAAATGTGCATCCATGAATTAGGCGCACGAATCTGCATCACTGAAGGCAAGAGGGTTCCTAATCATGATCCCGAGTGAAGCTCCTCTTCAGCCTGTCTCCCAGGAGAACGGCGATTCCGGTGTCCACTCCGAAGTAAGCCGTTCTCAGGACATAACACCATCCCAGACTTGTCATAACATCCCATCTGGGACGCAAATGTCCAGCCAGATGAGAAGCGAGCAGCCAGCTACCCACCCGACCCACTGGGAGGCCCCTGGGTGTTTATATCACTACACCCAAGAATGGGTGGACTGGTCAGTGGTGGCCGGACCCAGTCTGGCCAGGTCCACACTTCCTGGGAGACCCGCTCCATACAAAAAGTCACTAACGGAATATGTTGAAGGCCTCGCGAATTTGCAAATGGTACTTTGTTTACGTTAGCAAGTTTGATCAAGGCCGTCTGAGCTGAGCAGTTGAAGAACTTGTGTATACATGTATATATTTATATTTACTTGCTATTTTGGTCTACATGTTGTGTAGACCTTGGTCATATAAGGTGTTCTGCGACAGGTTAAGGGTTGTTCTATGCATATCATGAGAAATTAGTGATAAACTCATTTTTCCTATCTTATCTTGAGGTTATCTTGAGATGATTTCGGGGCTTAGCGTCCCCACGGGCCGGTCCTCGACTAGGCCTCCTTTTTGTTACACACCCCCAGGAAGCAGCCCGTAGCAGCTGTCTAACTCACAGGTACCTATTTACTGCTAGTTTACAGGTGCATCAGGGTGAAACACTGCCCATTTGTTTCCACCTCCGTCGGTGATCGAACCCGGAACCTTAGGATTACGAATCACGAGTGCTGTCCACTCAGCCGTCAGACCCCGTGTGTGTGTGTGTGTGTGTGTGTGTGTGTGTGTGTGTGTGTGTGTGTGTGTGTGTGTGTGTGTGTGTGTGTGTGTGTGTGTGTGTGTGTGTGTTTGGCGCTAAGAATACCCCTTGCAAGGAACGCTGTCTACTTGAAGGCCTCGGGTCCACGACTCTGGTACAAACAGGATTCCTCCCTCTCTCCATAACCCCTCCCCTGCCCCCCCCCTCCCCCCGTCCTTCCCCATTCCCACAGGGGCTCCTCTGCTCATTGACTATTCTTCTCACCCTATTCTATTCTTACCCATCTCTCTCACTCCTCCCTCCCCCCCTACCTTCCCTCCCTCACCCTCGGGAAGCTCCCCCACCCTTAGATTACACCTAAACTCGTGGGTGAAGCCTGTAACCGGGCAGCAGATGGGCACGTGACCAGTGTGCCCACCAGCTGTACACGGGGCACCTTTTTATACCCCGTCAGAATTGGATAACGTACCCAATATGATGTTATATAAATCCATGTTAAAAGTCTCCGAATATTTCGACCTCTTGAGCTATTGGCAGAGGAATTCTCGTTTTGTTCTGCTTTACAGTGAGCGTGGATGTTAAGAGCCACCGGCATCTTTAATAATAATGTTGACCAGACCACACACTAGAAGGTGAAGGGACGACGACGACGTTTCGGTCCGTCCTGGATCATTCTCAAGTCGATTGTCGACTTGAGAATGGTCCAGGACGGACCGAAACGTCGTCGTCCCTTCACCTTCTAGTGTGTGGTCTGGTCAACCTCCATCTAACATTGCCCATCATTAACCTCGCCCGAACAGGTAAAACGCGCTCTTCAAAACATCTACACGTTCCAAATTTGCTCCAAATCCCCTTAAATCACAAGACCCTAAAATCCCCCTCTCTCACACAACACGACGGACATTAGCCAACCCCGGCGACCTACTCACAAAGTTCTCGTAGATCTCGTCGGCGATGATGGGGACCTTGTTCCTGGCGGCCACCTCGAGGATGGCCCGCAGGTGCTGGGCGCTGTACACGGAGCCGCACGGGTTGGACGGGTTGTTGACTACTATGGCAGCCGTGTTGTCGTCGATCATCTCCTCCAGCATGGCCAGGTCCACCTCCCAGTTCTTCTCCGGCTACAGCAGGCGCGACAGGAGTAGGGGGAAGAGTGTTATGATCGCCAGATGACGTGGGGAAGAGGGGGTGAAGAAGGGGTGAAGAGGGGGTGAAGAGGGGGACAGTAAGAAGGGGATTTGTACTGCATGTACCCAAAATGGAATGATTGGTTAGAGGAGTGATTGGGGAGTGCAGGTGTCTATGGTACTATACACAAACAGTAGAATCATTACATTTCTCACCTAAGGAATGATTGGTCAATATTCTCTATACCAAAAAAAGGTTGAAACAATTCTCATTTCATCCCTTGCTAACAGCCTTACGGATCTTACGCGATAACATACATAGCATCTTCCTTTGCAACGTCCATCCTGCACACTCTGCCAGTGATTATTCTAATGCAAGCCGGGCTCATATTCACTCGAGAGCCTCACTTCGCACTCACCTGAAGGTCATAGTACTTGGTGCCAATGGAGAGGCACTCTGCTAAGGTCTTGTAGATGGGAAAGCCCGGACGAGGCACCAAGATGTTCTGGCCGGGAGAGCAGAGCGCGGTGATGCACAGATCAAGGGCACAGCTGCAGCCAGAGCACAACACTATGTCCTGAGGAAAAGTGAACACTGTGTTCATTGTATGTTCCGACACTGAAACCATTTCAAACTATTCCCAGGTACCAAACACGGTGAATTACCGGAATACCAAACAATCATAATCCAAAGGTGCTAACTGTGTCGCCTTGACCTTCATGACCTGGAACGGAAAAATTAACAAAAACATCACTCAAGAAGTTGAAGAATTCATCTACTTGACAAAACCAGAGCTATTGTTTGTATAGCTAAAGTATTACCAACTCCAATACTAAATCCCATTTGTAAAAACTTTCACATGAAGAGACAAAATGCCTCACTCTGCTCCTCCAACTTCTCTCATCCTCCTCCTCCAAAGACTGCACTCTTCCCGTCATTCACGACTCGAAGGTTACTCTCGGGAGAGTAATTTTCTCTTGGTCTGTAATGATAACATCTCTTTGATAGCAGGTGTGGGTTCTCCTGTCCTCGTATCACAGCCCGGGGCATCTTAGAGTTCGCTGGGGGGTTGTACAGACAAGCAGGTAGGGGGGAACAGTTAGCCAACCACCAGGGATGAATTACAGGAACACAAGAACAAGGGGGTGAAGAACAGTCAAGGAAGAATAAGTAAGCATCAATCAAGGATGAAGACTGGATGACAGACTTCGACAAGGCAACCCAAGTTCTTGGAAGATTTGGACCAACACAAGAGAAAAATTGCAAATATTATGCACTACCAATCTGCCCTCTCAAGCCCTGATGGGTTATCAGGAAGTTAAAAGCAGTGGAAACCAAACTTCTGTCACATGAACTTTTTGTAATATAATAACATTAACCCCTCCATCAAATGAAGATGTTAAAACATTAACCTTAGAAAATAAAAATATTAGCATTAGAAGTGAAGCCTAAGAGGCAATAGGAGAAAGATACCATGATTGAAAGAAGATACTTAAGATGCCAACTTGAGCAAAGAGAAACAGTTAAACACTATCATAAGGTAAACACCGTGAAAGTGCAAGGTATGTAAACAGTATCACAGAGAAAGATAAGGAAGTGTGTGAGGAACTAACAATTCCAAGAGGACTTCATAACAGAGCAGAGGGGAGAGGCTCATCAGTGAGGGAGGAGTATGGAGGCACGGGAGCAGTGAGGTACAAGCCAGTGTAGAGTAGTGTAAGCTAACAGCAGCCTGCTCCTGACCCCCTTAGTATAGTTGGTGTGGGGGGACAAACTAGTCGGTCCCCCACTCGTGTCCCCCTGGTGTACGAAGAGGACTATGAAGGCGAAAATAACGTCAAAAGTTGAAGATGTCACCGACATCAGAGACGTTGCCAATTATTGATGGCGCAAGGGAAGTCTGTCACGATTTTAAAGGTCGCCGCCGTCCTCCACAGGTAATGGGGTAGGAGAGAGGGGTACACCGTCACACAGGTAGTAGGGGAGAAGGTTAGAACGTCACACACAGAGGGAAATGTCGTCACGGTTTCAAACACACACACAGCCGACCTGTCCCAACCCAAACACTGAGAAACCATCCCATATACTGCTGATATTACAAAAATATGTCTCTAGAAAGTGAAAGGGACGACGACGTTTCGGTCCGTCCTGGACCATTCTCAAGTCGACTGTGTCCATTCTTAAGTCACAATCGACTTGAGAATAGTCCAGGACGGACCGAAACGTCGTCGTCCCTTCACCTTCTAGTGTGTGGTCTGGTCAACATACTTCAGCCACGTTATTGTGACTCCTCGCCTGCATAACATGCCTAATAGAACCATCAAAGTCGCTACTGGCCATCAAAAAGGCACCAAATAATAAACTTTTGAAACACAATGAAAAATAAACTACATATATACATTATTTCAAGGAAATACACATTGGAAAAAGAAACCCAGACCCCTGTTATCTTCCCACAACATACGGATGTGGTGGCAGAATACTGAGACTCGAACTTACCAAAACAGGAATCAAAATTCCCTGTAAGGACAGAAGTTAGATATCACGGGACGATTTACTGGCCTGTGTACATTGTGTGATCTCAATTATAGATATTGCGAGGGATTTTCTTCGGGACGATTTGAATACAATTTTTAGACTTTCAACAAAAATGTGGATAAAATGCAATAAAAATGTATAAATAAACAGGTAAATCTAAAATACTCTAAATTAACTTTTTCCCATTTCTTAAAAAATCAGACTATTTTTGCGAACAATTTTTACCAGTCGTCAATTTTGTAAAAAAAAAAATTGTATTTTTTATTAACGAGACGACAAATCGCGGTGCTGGTGAGAAGGAGTCATGGATTACTACTAGACAAAGTAAATACTGAAGACATCTTAACAAAAAGAACGAAGTACACTGAGAAAACAAGAGAGAGACAGAGAGAAAGAGAGAAATATGGCTACAGAAGATGAGGTAAAGTGACAAAGGTCATTAATGATCAACAATCAACCCACCTTTGCATCAAGTTCGAGGCTACCGGGAATGGAGCAATACCTCGCGACCGCTTCTTTTGCTTCGCCAAAACCTGCAAAGACACGAGATATCACAAACAATAACACGAGATATCACAAACTGATTTAAGAGGAACTTTCCAAGGTTCCCCGCACACTCCCCGTTACAAACTTCATATAACTCGCTATATTAAAGACTGCATTGTTTTATGTAACATTTTATTCCCTTGGATCATCAGAGATTTCAACACATGAACAATTTTGCTCGTTTCATATGTTTCATTAAGTGAGCTTGCATATTTAACTTAATTATTTCTACTGAAGCCCGTCCTGAGGGTAAAGTGATTTACCACAAGACCCCGAGCCCATTCTCACACCAATTGGATAGTTATCTAGAGATTCGGGATGGTCTGAAAGCTTATTATGGTTCCAATAATGGTCTACCTGTTAACTGGCGAAGTCAAACTGTCCTAAAAAAATTAATATTGTCAAGTTATAACTGTTATAAATCGTTGGTTTAAAATATAAAGTCTATGCTTAACACTTTCTTTGAAACGGTAGAATTTAGTTTTCTGTAAAGCAAATTCTAGGGGATTCTAAAATAGTTTTCCAATTTCATATTTGGGAATAATGCTTTATTAACGTAACCAAACGTAATGAAACCTAACCATGAATAGCGAGTAAATAACAGCACTAATTACGTATGGGTTATGAAGTGACTACCTCCAGGGTACCCCATCCCTCCCCTCCCCACACACACACACAGTGGTGGGGTGAGAACAGTCTGAATAGTAAGACTGTGTGTGGACACTTAAGGAGAACTTTAGAAAGATTCTCGTGAACTTTTACAATATTTAATTGGTTCCCTCTTCCACTTTCGTTCAGTTACCACTTGATAACAGTCGAGGACAGACTGAAACGTCGCCATTTTCTTTTCATGTGTGTTTGAGGGTTTTTTTTCATCTATGTTATTGTGATTTATTCTCAATATTTATAAGAATCAAAAATTCCTGGAAGCCCAGTTTGAGTATAAAGGAAATTAGGTAATCTCTAATTGCCAATTTCAACAAACAACTACTAGGGTGTATGTCATTAAATGCTATTTAATAAATTTAAAAGGTACTAGAACCATCTTCTTACCCAATTGACTAATTCCACGAGTTAATTTGACGTATTAAATATTAAACTATTGTGACGATAATCTCCTTCAAGAGAGATTGAGCCTGCTCTTCCCTCCTAAGTACGTCCATAACAACAATAACAACTAATATAGAAGATATATCCAACAAGTACAACACCAAGGTTTGCCCAGAGAGCAAACGTATTCAGCACCGGGAACACCTGCTCCACCTCCGCCACTCAAACCAGCAAACTACTTGTCCATCGCCTGCCCATCGCTGATTGGCTGGTGCCCGTCGCACCTGCTCCCTCCACCCGCCACACTAGCTGACGTCTGGGCCACCACAACCTACAGTCATCAGAATATCCCGTGCTTTCCACAAGTTAACACGTCTCATTGGTAGACTAAGCCCTGGCTTACGTGTACTAAGAGAGGTGGCAGCTTAAAGCCAATATTCCTGCATTCATATATCTCCTTGTATATTATTCACTTGTCTATTATTCACTTGTCTTAACGTAACTTTTCATTTGCCAGTGGTTATTCTTATTATTTTGTTTGATTGATTTTATGTTACAATTTTTATGTCCAATTTTATTCATGTTTTGCTTTTCTAACGTAATTAAAATCTCATTGTTAAATTTACTTGTGTTTTGTGTGTCTTCCCATTACCTTACCACAGACGAAAGTTCCAGATTTTCTCTTTTTGTTTCTTTATGTGACGAGGCCATACCCCTAGCTTTTGAAACAGCCGAACACCACCGCGTTACCGTCACACTATCAAGAAATAATTTCACCGAGTATTCTACTTCACTAAGTACCCACAGCCTATCATTAATTATTCTGAAGAATTATATATTTAACACTACTCGTTAAGAACCTTTGGGCGCTGACAACTAGTGAACTGCGATGATTGGCGAGCAGAAGTAATGGCGATAATCAAGTGTGAATAACTGAACGCAAGTATGAACGCTGTGCGTATTAGTTGTTAAGATTCGCTACCTGGCACAAAATGTTCCAAGTAGCACGGGCTATGGTGAGCCCGTAGTGGACTGTTGTGTGCGTATTAATTGCCCTAAACGCTGTATTAGTGGCTACTAGTTCAATCTAGAAATCCAACATTCCGCTTGCAACTCATTTTCTATGTATGTACTTTTACCTAAATTATAGTTATATCGTTATAAAACTAGGAGGTATAAGTGGATGCGTTACAATCAACTCGTCCTCTCGAGGGTTCAGAACGTCACTAAACTGATGTACTAAATTACCCGAACCTAACCTAACTGAGGACTCGCGAACAGAAAACGGGACCACATCAATTTTTGCGAGCTGCTTTGAGCTTCAGGACATCTTTCACGTTGGAATTTTTACGTCAAACTACGGTGTGTTATGCGAGAGGGTAGACTATACCAGTCGTACTCTAACAATACAATCACAAGTCATAGATAGATAGGGAGGGGAAGGGGTAGGGAAAAGGGAAGAATGAGGGGAAATAAGGTGGAATGAGGTTGGAGGGAAAAAGAGGGGGGGGGGGAGCGCGCCTGAGCCTATCCCGGGCATAAATAGGCATAGGAAATATTAAGACACTAAATCTCTTATATCTGGACAAGTCTGTTGAAACAGTTAAGTAAAATATTTAGCGCAAGTGGGTTCCAGTCCCCGATTAATATATATATATATATATATATATATATATATATATATATATATATATATATATATATATATATATATTTAAATCGGCGACTAGAGATTTTAATGTTTTTCTTTCTAATAATGAAGGTTTGGTTCTTGGAGTCACCTCTTTTCCCCTTTACAGCAATATCACGGTAAAGGGTTCAAAACGAGGAACCGTTGTGGTATAGCGACCATTGAGGGGACGTGATCTATCAGTAGGGTTACTTTGCATGATGAGAAACCACCACCTCTCTGCCCCTTCTTCACTCATCTTCCCCATTCTATTGAATCCCAGCCCTCCAAACTAACCATTTCTCATCGTCGACCTACCTCACTGAAGCCAACATTCAGGACACAAACACTCATCCACGACCTAAGCAAGAAAAAAATGAGTAACACTTTACGGGCCAGCCAGAGGCTTGAGGCCCGCACGGGAATATCAGTCCCCTCAAAAAAATAAAAATAAACTATCCCTCCAACTCTTTCCCAGATTGTCTGTATCCGTCACAGTAATTCCATGAACAACATAAAACAGCCATTTATGGCCGTTTATGTAAACATTTCACAGCAATATATGGTTAGTACAATTGATCAAAAGTCATGACATTTATATGTATGCTAGTGGCATGTGTGTGCACGAGTGGCCAGCTAGGGCGCCCTTGGGCTTGTTGCCAAGCGTTGGTCATGAAGCACAGACGTTAGCAGCCTAGCAAACCGGTTCAGAAGGAGGAGAGGCGAGTCCTTGTACCTCTCTCTAAGACTCGTACTCCTCACCTATCAGTTCCAACTTGTACACTACGGTATGGTGGGATTTAGAAAGTTCTCAGTCTGTCTCAAACGTTCGTCTTCTAATACTATATAAAACGCTGCGCGGGCTTGGCAAAAATGTAAGTTTTACAGTTCATTCTCTTAAAATGAAGGTACAGTACTTAGTGTGTGTGGTCAAAAGTACCAGTATGTCGTGATGGACCGCCAGAAAGTAGACTTTTGCATCATTGAATTTGGACAAACTTTTTTTTCTAGTAACAAATAAAACCTAACAACCTCTCCTAGCCACCCTAGGCCTAATACAAATATGTACTATACTTGACCTAACAATATTTATGTTTGGTTTTTAGTTTTTTTTTCTGGACTATAGCAAAAAAAATTGCACAAAAAGTGGTTTCCTGGTACTCCATTACAGATCGGAACTTTCGCCCACAGTTACGAAAAATACTTTCATTCCAAGAGGATGGGTTGCATTTGACAATAATTAACTTTAAACATTGTGTTTCGTCGTGTTTTAATAATGAATCATGACCGAATTGGGTTATGCAGAAATTTTAAGTAACTTGGGGGTGAAATAGCCTAAGCTACTATCCCTTTGAGATGAATTTTTTCTTGTCTCAATAAACATACTTGAAGTAACTACATCCGGGTGTCTCCAATATCTTCTCCCACCTCATCTCTTGCCCCTCTCATTCCCTTCTTTCCCCTCTAAGTGTGTCTGAACATACAATATTAAGCTGAAAAACTATTGAAAGACTGGAAATAAAACCCAAATTTCAGACTTAACTGGAGTCCCAAATGCAAATTTGGGTGAGGCTAGCCAGAAGCATCTGGCCTTCTCCTTGGACAGAGACAGACGCAACTTTCTATGTTATATAGATGTAAGGATTAAGATTGACTAGGCTACGTTAGGTTCTCCACTGTAAGAGCTAGGCTAAATCACGATCGGTATTGCAAATTGGCTAGGGTAGGTTACAATTGCATGAACAATTAACCTATACCTAACCTAAGGATTGTGAACGTTTTCTTACAATCCCATTGGGTGTTGTGTTATTTGGAGGTGGTTCAATTCAATCCAGAATAAAACTGCACTGAACATGAAATTTCTGCACTGAACATGCAATTTGTTTACATTTCCAATTGTATTTATTTACCGTATTTGAGTACTACATTATTTAGTGACGTCTTAGTTTAGAGAGCTAAAAGAACAACTGTATAACCAGCACTGGGATTAGTTTTCCAGTGCTGGTTATACAATCACCATCACTGATTTACAATTATCCAGCATTCTCAGCCAAAACATGGAATAAAATTCAAAAGCTTTCACATCCTGACGCTACTCAGCTTGGTTACAAAAATTTTGGTTACAAAAGCACTCAAAGGAAAGCACTTTAAACATAAAATTGTAGAATGTATATTCACTTGTATTAAAAGAATAGTTTGCTCACTACTCTTCTACAGCGATATGATGCGCTATGCAAACTAACAAAAAACCTACCAATTGATAACAATCTTACTAAGACCAATATAAATCTCAACTTGATCATTTCAAATGCCTGTAGTAAAATGGGGATCCAGTACAGTGGCTACGCTCTTAATTCGCAATCTGGGAATCCCGGGTTCGATTCCAGGGCGAGACAGAAATGATTGGCCAAGTTTCCATTCACCTAATGCCTCTATTCGTCTAACAGTAAACGAGTACCAGGAAGTTAGGTCCCTGCTGTATGGTTGCATCCTGGGGAACGTCAGTCGTTCGACCTTTGAGGATCTCGATACAAGTCTAACGTGTATATATACAGGTTTCCTGTCCCCCAATAACTGAAATTATAATTTTCTAGCTAAACTGCCACACTATCCGCTACCCGAACAGTTTTAATCAAATGCCAAGGCAGAGTGTCTAGCCTAACCGCTATAGACACGGGGACTCATAATACAGAAATTCACTTAAGTTCAGACCCCGTCTCTGACGTCCTGTATATGCAAATGTCCTTGGAGGTTTATACTAGATAAGCTAATGTTTCAAATTAGAACCCATCTTGCTCCTAACCTGAATTATTTCCTTCCCGAAAAAAAACTCAAACTTGCTTTGCTGAATATCTTATTACACGGGGAACCAAGCTCTCATACGACATTTGTCTCCAAACTGCTTTTGATACAGACCACTAATCTTAGACCAACTTGCCACTTTTTGGAGTCAAGGAAAAAAAATTGACATGACTTTTTTGGGGGGTTGGGGATGGGTGGCACTTGTAAAACAGAACTGCCTCAGTTCTTTTAAAAGGGGATAAAAGTAACTTGTTTTGAGTAATTCGGTTCACCTCAGGGTGGAGTGCTTAGCCAAACACTTTCAAGCGTCCTGATGTATAAAATAATTGGCATTTCCACACTAGCTAACGAAGCCGTCATCTGGTGGGGGTAGAAATAGCCTAAGCTACTCTATCCCTTTGAGATATATTTTTTTGTCTCAATAAACATACTTGAACTTGCTGTCATCTGTTATTCTAATGTTTGTATTGTTGCAATTGCCAAAGCTCTATTGCAAGCACTACCGAATTTTCTTGCTACTAAAAGCATTGATTGTTGTATCATCACTTAACAAAATTCAGAGCATCTCCACAAATGTTTTTCTTTTTTACACAGTCTACAATCAAAGCATTTAATACCTGTAGGCAGCAAAAATACTTTGGAGTAGGTATAAGAGATATTGTAAGCGACGATTATAGGTCAAAAACTCTTATAACCAGTAATGTATATATCAATGAATTGGACATTAATCACCTAAAAATAATATAAAAATAACTTTGAACATGCAACAAATCTAACGAGTACACATCTTAATATGCATTAAAATATCTTAATAAATCAATTTGCACTAATGAATTACTACAAAATTAAGTACCTGTGCATGGTCCGTATCCGTTGAATTTGCCGCTTTGGATGGCTTCGACTACAGCCTCGGTGATTTCTTTGGCTGGCTTCAGATTTCCGAACACAGTGGGGTCCCCTGGATACACAAAATTAAGTATTAACAACTTTGACCAAATAATTATATTTATATAAAATATATATTATATATGTATAAGCAGTTCCATTTGTTCCTGCCGTTTCTCAAGCAACTGGGACATACGAAGCAACCTAGTCCATTTCATCCAGCTGTCGACCCCACAGACGTATACATTTTAACATGCTGTTCATTCAAAACGGGAATTTTCTCAAATATAAATTAATTTTATGATATATTAGCATACTGTGCATATATAGGCATAGGTTAGGTTAGGTGTTTAGGTTCTGTTGGCGATTATTTGTATTTGTAGTACATTGGTGAAGCATTTACAGCATCGTGGTTCGAACAAAATTCGTCAGTGAAGCATTTGTTCCGGAAGTGTTCAAACGAAATCAGTTGTGAGTCTTGTGTAAACAGTTTTTCATTCATGAACAGGAGGTTTGGCGGCTGGAATAACGAGCATTTGGCATTTATTTACGAGTACGGGCTGACTGAATTGAACATGACCCCTGGGGCATGAATTAACCTTTGCTCTGAAGTTGGGAACACGTGCCAGATAAACGGCTGGGAGTTTGGCACCATTCCCAGGCAAGAGCCTAGATCTTGCAGAGTTCGTGGAGAAACTTTGAACCTAGCCACACATCATGCAGCCTGTCCTTGTATACAAAGACCCAAGCTCGTTAATCCAGCCGCCAATTCCCCCGTTTATGAATGAAATGCGGTTTGCACACGACTCAACTGATGACGTCCAAACACTTCCGGAACAAGTGCTAAGTTCAAACCCACGTGCTCTGTTCGAACCATAATTCTATAAATGCTTCACCCACGTACTTCAAATACAACTAATTGCCAACAGAACCTAAACACCTAACCTACACCTAATTATATGCATAATTTTTATAAAATTAGTTTATACGAGAAACTAATTTTTAAAACATGTTAAAAATGATGAATCCGTCTGGGTAGGCCGGCTGCTGCTTTAAACAGCCTAGTGTGAGGACGGGTTAGCTCGTGGAATATGGATACGTGTTGATTTTTCTCATTTAAAACAAAACAATATGTACTTACAATAAAGCAAGGATGCATCCTCACACAGCACAACTAAACCCTAACACAACTAACCTCAATCAAATACACACAATCAGCCTTTGCATCAACGTACAAACCCATCATCTCGTTTGGATTTTTTTTAGCTTTAATTTTATTTACAAGTTGTAGGCTAAACGATACCACGAATCAGTCGTCTGTTACCTACACAACTTAGGGTAAGTGGATGCTCCTTTTATCTCCTAGCCATCGTGTGTTGCTAGCAGGTAAAAACATTTGAACCTTTGCACCATCATTTATTGAAGTGATAGTTCAAGTTTAAGATCCTCACGTATCTTATCTTACACTTCACTTTTTTATTTAACACGCTTGGGTACACTGCCCGAGGATAGGTCGGGGTCGGCTTGTAGCCCCGATCCCCAAGGATGAGGGATCGTTTAAGATATCCACCCTGACACTATAAATTATACTCGCTAAAGGTCAATAACAAGAAAATGGAGGAACTTGCTACCCTGATTTTCAATGAAATATTGAGAATAGTGAAAATATATGGCTTCCATTCTGAACCACAAAAGTATAAAATACCATTGTACAACCCCCTATGGCTTATAGTATACTTATGTTAAATTAATATAATCTCCACGAAGGGCATGGTGACCGTACAACCCCATAAATAAGTAAACCTTAAAACAATCCCCCGCTTCAGCCCTGGTCCACTTCACACAGCACAGCTCCTGTGCCAGGCAAGTCCACTACGGGCTCACCATAGCCCGTGCTACTTTGAACTTATTCCGAGTAGCTGAATCTATCACATCAGCCCTGGTAACCAGTGATCACGGCTCACACAACCGTACCATACACGCTGGCCGAATTTCCATTAATCTACTCCAGCTGTGGCTCACAGCCTATTGCGTATGATTGCAAGTTTAACGAGAATGGGAACACGGCCCCTGAGCTGTGTGTCCAGAGATGGACGCATGCGCACATCTGGTGTTTCTTCAACTTACCGACCAACAGCTTGTTGTACTAGTCATTAAGTCGAATAATAGCTTATTAACTAACCGGCAAATATAATTTTAGTCCCAAGCCTCGTCTGTATATTCATTCACCAGGAAGCGGTATATAGACACCTGTGGGTATATAATTAACGCAACATTGCAGTACTTTACTTGCCCCGCTCCTGTGGCAGGTAAGTTACGGGCTCACCATAGCCCGTGCTCCTTGGAACCTGTTCAGAGTAGCTGAATCTATAACATGCAGTACTTACCGACAGAAAGGGCGATGAGCGGCTTGTCTGGATGAGGGACGATTTGTAGGTTTTCGACGATGTGTCTGATGGGATTGAAGGTGTTCTTGGCGTAGCTGGACGAGTTGACGTTCCACGACTTTCTTGCACGCATGGTCACAAACCGCTCACTAGTTTGTTCTGTTGCAATGCTTAACGATCGTCTCCTTGCACTCAAATTGCCCCTCGAGTGTGTGTGGTAGTTGTAATGACAATACACAGGTAGCTAAGGTGTATTTAATCACTTCATGGTTTAGCAAATTTGCGAAACGAAAACAGTAGCCTAAAAAAATATCCGAAGAGTTAAAAATTTCAGGACACTTGGATCATTACAAATGGTGCTTGGTTGGTGAGTGCGGAGCAAGTTGTTGTAGGCCACACTGTTGGGTAGAGATGAGCTTGAGGACGTTGTGGGCCTCTTCACGACCACAGAGAACACCTTAGAAGCGCGAGCAGCCAGGGCAGAGTGGAGACGTACCACAGGTCAGTTAGGCATCCAGGTTGCCAGTGGTGTGGGCGTCCGGCCGAGGAGGAGCGGGGCACCTATACTCTACCAGCGACCTCCACACACCCTACCCGGCCCCACAACGTACTATCCGGCTCCCCCCACCACCTCATTCCCCTCCCAGCATCGCCTAACGCCACTCCTCACAACTCACAATCCTGCCCCTTCCAGCACAATCATATCCCCCTCCTCACGCTTCCAAACCCCTACCAGCACTACCTTTCCCCCCTCCCCACGCCTCCAAACCCCTTTAACCCCCCTCCAAACCCCCTTACCCCCATCCCCACACCACCAAACAACCCGCAAACCTCTCATTCTTTTTTGCCTTTTTAACATACATGGACATTTATGAAACTTCCCCAGACAATGAAGGGTTGTATATTGTGTATCCAGATATCTGATACTAAAAATCCTCATCTCGTAGGATGGTTATATGTGACCAGTAGAGGATATCCTCAAGAATACGAGAGTTAATAAAGTGATTGCAAAGCTCCAGGTCTGAAGGGTCTAATAGATGGGCATTAAATAATATAGTGCATGCGATGCCCCAGTTTCTGCAGCCTCGTCACCTATAGCCTGATCCTGGCAATCACTCATACATATAAAATGGAAACTGCATTGTGGGTGTGGAGAGCTAAAAATTCTATCTAATGGCACGTTTTCCAAAGGTGACACACTAGCTATTTGTTGTTGTTTATGCAGGCACATGAAACCCTTAAAAGTAAACAATAAAATCAATATCTAATTTCTTCGCTGAGTTATATAATTTCACTTAATAAAATACAGTTGTACTAAGCAGAGCGATACCAAATAAAAATGCAATAGCCAGACGTCGCCTGAATCCTCTACCATCATTGTAGCTATGTAGGTAGGCTACGGGATCACCATAGCCCGTGCTGCTTGGAACTTTTGTTCCGAGTAGCTAAATCTAAATCAACAAACATAGGCTTATAATTGTACTCATTTCTTATTTGCTCACCTACGAACCGATATTCATAAAATCTTCTAGGTATATTCAGAGTGATTATGATGAGATTTTCTGAGCTATGTTATTTTTATGTACTACTCATAATGGATTAAGATTTAATGAAGTGACGTCTTTAATTTTATTTTATTTTAGTGTGATTTAGTCAAGTAAAACGATAATAGGTTTGGGCACTGTAAATGTACTGGGAAAACTTAAAAACCTTATTTTGATCCAATACTTAAAAAGACACGAAATATAATGTTTCCAAAAATTTCGGTTGGCATGGGAGAAAAAATTGCATAAAAAAATTGGCGATTTTGGCACGCCCATTTAAAAAAAATGTTGCCCACCCCTGTCCTGCTAGGCTATGAGCCCCTCATCTTTCATCAACTCGTCCTCAGGCCAAGCTCGTTAAAGTTGCGGCCGTCCCCCAATACGTATTAATCATCAATTTTAATGAAGTGTGTATTAAAAATGTTCGTTCTCATTTATATATTAATATTATTAACCAAGCACTTGTAACCAAGTCTGAGTCTGTGTATGGCTACTGTAAAACTTGCAGTCTCCGTGGTGTAGTGGTAAGACACTCGCCTGGCGTTCCGCGAGCGCTATGTCATGGGTTCGTATCCTGACCGGGGAGGATTTACTGGGCGCAATTCCTTAACTGTAGCCTCTGTTTAACGCAACAGTAAAATGTGTACTTGGATGAAAAAACGATTCTTCGCGGCAGGGGATCGTATTCCAGGGACCATAGGATTAAGGACTTGCCCGAAACGCTACGCGTACTAGTGGCTGTACAAGAATGTAACAACTCTTGTATATATCTCAAAAAAAAAAAAAAAATTGGGATATCTGGATATCATATCTTCGCTATGGCTCTGTGGTGAATTTTGATAGTTGGGAGTATTTTCTTCTTGATTTGCTCCTTAATCTGTGGAAAACTTGGAGGTATTTGAACCTGTACAACAGGTAGAGCAGTGGCAGTTTTTGCTAGTGAGTCGGCCTTTTCAGTACCATCTATGCCAATGTGACTTGGTATCCAATTTAGGATGATTGACAGCCCTAGATTGTGTATTTTTTCCTATATACCTGATACCTGGTTGATGGGGGTTCTGGGAGTTCTTCTACTCCCCAAGCCCGGCCCGAGGCCAGGCTTGACTTGTGAGAGTTTGGTCCACCAGGCTGTTGCTTGGAGCGGCCCGCAGGCCCACATACCCACCACAGCCCGGTTGGTCCGGCACTCCTTGGAGGAAATATGGTGGATTTCTGTGATTAATTGTATATTATCTCTGTGCTGGCTGGATAACAATGCCTCGAGCGAAGATTTAGAGTCGGTATAAATGATGAGATTATGTATTCTCAATTGCATAAGTTATGGCCTGTTTTTAGGGTATATAATTCTGTTTGCAATGTTGAGCACGCACTATCCATGCTCCAGTAAGCTTCGTGGTTGTTATTGTAAACTGCTGCCCAGCATAACCTTTTTGTTGATCACAACCATTTACGTGATTAATACAGTAAATCTCAGCTTCCCTCATACCAAGTGGTGGCCTTGGTGGTCTGTAAACAACAGACTCATATTGTTTTTCAAACTGTGACTGATTGCTACCACAACTGTGAATGCCTGACTGCCTTTGACTGGTTATGACTGACGGTGACTATGAAGCCCTGACTGACTGTGACTTGACCATGGCTGCCACTAACTCTAGCTCTGGCTACATGCTGCATAACAGAAGCAGTGGAATCTGTGAAGGGAAAATGGTGCGCCGCCCTGGTGGCCTGTCGAGGTAACACAAAACATCACGTCCAGAAATCCAAGTTTCACATCCTGTATAGCAATTCTCTTGCCCAACATATAAACAACTACACGTATATATCTGATCTTAGAGGAGGTAAAAGGTGGGGGTACAAAAACCACTTTAAAATATCTTTCAATAAATGTATAATGAAATATACTAAAGTAATTTTATTCCACAAAATATCCTTCTAAAATAGGGATGCGTCCTATGCGTGGGTGTGTCTTAGACGCCGGCAAATACGGGTTATCTTGAGATAATTTCGGGGCTAAGCGTCCCCGCGGCCCGGTCCTCAGCCTCCTTATTTTTTTACGCGTCCCCAGGAAGCAGCCCGTAGCAGCTGTCTAACTCCCAGGTACCTATTTACTGCTTGGTGAACAGGTGCATCAGGGTGAGAGAAACTGCCCATTTGTTTCCGCCTCCACCGGGGATCGAACCCAGAACCTTAGGACTATGAATGCCGAATACTGTCCATTCAGCCGTCAGGCCCCAGGTCAGCCGGGTAACTACAATGTAAGTTAACAAGCGGTGATTGCACTGGTAAAGATATATGTCTTAAGTACTAATATTGGAGAAATGTTGACCAGACCACACACTAGAAGGTGAAGGGACGACGACGTTTCGGTCCGTCCTAGACCATTCTCAAGACGATTGTCCTACCTTCCTGAATATTGGAGAAGTGGGCAGTACAAGATACAGTGTGAGTTTGAAGCACAAGGTAGGTAACTATGAGGGTGAAATTGGGTTCGTTTTGGTTTTACAATTTAATAGGGCATAGGCTGGACAATTTTTTTAATTCGTCAGGGAATGAGTTTCGAAGACTGGGTCCTTTTATTTGCATGAAGTGTTTGCACAGATTTAGTTTTCTCTGAGGATATCAAAGATATACTTATTTCTGGTGTTGTGCTCATGGGTTTCTATTAAACCTATCAAGGAAAAGTTTCAGATCAAGATTAGCATTTAGGATCAAGGTTTTATATGCAGGCGATGAGACACAATAACGTAGCTTAAGTATGTTGACCAATCCACACACTAGAAAATGAAGGAACGACGACGTTTCGGTCCGTCCTGGACCATTCTCAATCGACTTGAAAATGGTCCAGGACGGACCGAAACGTCGTCGTCCCTACATTTTCTAGTGTGTAAATTGATCAACAAGGTTTTGTACACGTAGATAGCACATGAGAATGTGTGGAGTGAGTGTATGTTTCTGCTCAACCTATCCTTCCCCCTTTCTAACCCCGCTATCCTTCTCCCTCGCCACCCACCCCAAACATCCCCCCACAAATAATACCATGCCCCACCAAGGCTCACGCCACCAGAATCCACCAATGGTAGGGAATTAAGCCTTGCCCCAGCCTCCCCATCTCCCCCACCACCTCCAAGGTCCCCGCAACAACGCAGTATAGTGATGTGGATGTTTGGAGCTTCCAGCTGGCGACGCCGGCGCCACCGCTCACCACAATGTAAACATTAACTTTCCATACATCGCCTCCCTAGGCTTCAGCGCCTTAAGTTCAAGATACATAGATTAATGCATAGTTTATTTCAATTATTGTTTTTGTTTGAGAGTTTATACAGGTTTATGTCCGTAAGGAGGGGGGGTAGGGGGGGTGATGAACAGCCAATGACCATCTGTAAAATAGATGAGGCATCGGCTGATCTTACTACTTTATATTTGACGTCACTCAGCTCAACGGTATTTAATAGATCATAAACAAATGTTGTATTTTCTTGAACGTTGAGGGGAACAAAATCGGTATATTTAGGAGTGAGATTCGTGACGTCACTGCTGGAAGAGTTGTTGCATGGTAAGAGTGTTTACCTGAGGCGACGCGAGGTGATTGGTCAGCGGGAGGGTGGGGCAGGCGCGGGGCTCGCTGATTGGCTCGCCGGGCTGACACACCTTCAAGTTGGACCTGATCCAGTGTGGGTGGTGTGCTGACCTATCAGTGCTTGTCGTGATGTCTTCCGGGGAGAGGTGTAGCTCTTTGGGTCCCGCCTCTCAACCGTCAATCAACTGGTGTATAGATTCCTGAGCCTACTGGGCTCTATTATACCTATATTTGAAACTGTGTATGGAGTCAGCCTCCACCACATCACTTCCTAGTGCGTTTCATTTATTAACTACTCTGACACTGAAAAAGTTCTTTCTAACGTCTCTGTGGCTCATCTGGGTACTAAGTTTCCACCTGTGTCCCCTTGTTCGTGTTCCACCCGTGCTGAAGAGTGTGAAACGCAATGGTCTAGACGTGTCAGGTGTGAACATAGGCTATAAGCATTGACTTGCATCCTGGGGCTCTGTGATAATCAGCAAATAGGCTT